TCCCCACTCCAGGGGAAGGTTACTGCAAAATCCCCATTTCCTCCCAATCAGCTGGGACTCGGGAGACAGAGAATGGAGGGGGCAGGGCCAGACAGAGGTGGTATTTACCAGTTCTCCGAACTACTCAAAATTTCAGCTGCCGGTTCTCCAGAACTCGTCAGAACTTGCTGAATACCACCTCTGCAGCAGTTATAATTCAATAGAGGCCCACTTTGACTGGCTTGTAGACCCAAATAGTATAATCTAAAATACCTGGAAGATCCAGATGGAGGGAGGGAGGGAGCTTGTTCAACTACAATAATCTGTGTGACCTCTTCTGTCGCACTTACTGTCTGTTGTGACTATTGATGCCATCTGTGCTGCTTTTCAATTGTAGTTTTAATGAGAGAAACATTTAAAGTCAACTCTATCAAGAGTAGCATTTTGCGTAACACTATTACCGCAATATGATCAATATCTGGCTTTTGAAATAAAAACATCTTGAGAAACAGTTTAGGTTTTAATCCGTGCTGAAAATTGAACTGGTCATACTGAAGCATGGTTGAATATTTTTGATAGAATGGCATTGAGAAGAACATTGAACCATGTGAAACTGGCATATAAAGAAGTGGTAATGTGCAATGCTTCCTGATATTGTAGCTACAGGAGCTTGAAGATGTTTGTACTAAGCTTAACCAAGAAATGAGGTTTTCAGACTTTGGTTTGAATCTCACACTGAATGGCAATTAATTATAGAAAATGCAAATGTGATTCACTGGAAAATGATTATTGTATTTGCAGAATATCCTGTATATCTTTGGTGGAATGGTGGATTCAGCTTTCACACAGAAGAGAAATCCTCTCTGGATGTATGACACAGGTGTGGAATGAGACAAGTTTTATTCTTCCAATATATTTATGCATGTGTTTCATAATATGTACTAGTTTGGATCAGAGTATTTTTTATTCATGTACAGCCTATTCTGGAAAGAGTTGTAGATGAAGAACAGATTAACATATCAAACCAATTATAGTCTCCTCCTCTTTATGCACACTTGGATGGAGAGCTAAGGAGATACTGTAACTTTTTTTCCCCTCAGAAGCTGAGCCAGACAATTGCTCTGTCGAAATTGGCCTTACTTGAACTAACCTTCCAGAGCAGGGGTGTCAAATTCAAGGATTGCGGGCTAGATCCAGCCCACAGAGTGTTTAGAATCCTGGCGTGGGTAACGTTGCCAATTTCTCCAGTCTCTTTCCTCCTCCCCCCTTCTCTCCTCCAAAAATGTTTGACCCCAATAATCAGGTAATTCACTCCGCTGGGGTTTTCTCACGGGGCCCTGGTGCTGATAACTTCTCCATTCTCCTTCATCGCCCCCTCTTCTTTCCCCAAAGTACCTTTGGCTCCAATAGTCAGGGAGCTCACTCGCCTGAGGTTTTCTCACGGCACCTGGCTCCAGCGAAGTTTGTTGAGGTGGTCTCTGGGTGAGTCCAGCATTCCAGCTTGTCTCTATTTCTCTTGGCCCCACTGAAGTTGACCAACGGGGTAGAGGGGAAGGCTCAGGCTGACTGGAAATTTGCAGTTGAAATAAATCTTCGTGCAGAGGTCGGTCAGACGGGCTGGGCTGGT